GATGCGGGACTTGATCCCGGGACTCCAGGATCATGACCTGAGCCGAAGGCAGTCGCTTAACCAACTGAGCCACCCAGGCGCCCGGACCAGAGGAAATTTAGTTCTCCTACTCCTCCTCCATCTTGCTCCTCTAGTCAATAATTTTTTAAATTCCCTCCAAAATGTGGAAGGTCCTATTGACTGCTTCTATGAGCAAGCCTCTACTTTAAAAATCAATTATTAAAGGGTGCCTGGGTGGTTCAGTCGATTAGGCATCTGCCTTCAGCTCAGGTCATGATCTCGGGGTCCTGGGATTGAGCCCTACATCAGGCTCCCTGATCACAGGGGCGTCTGCTTCTCCTGCTCACTTGGCCCCTATCCCTCAACTCATGTGCTCTCTCTCTCTCAAATAAATAAATAAAATCTTTTAAAAATCAGTTATTAATCTTCTGATATAGGTTACAACAAGCATCATTTTTTAAAAAATTGTATTATGAACAGAACAGTATAAAGAGATATGTAATTATTTATTTGTGAAACAAATGTTCTGATGAAGAGATAACAAGAACTCCTTAGAACCTCAATTTTACCCTCAGGTTTGAAACATTAATAATGTTTGAAATAACAGGTTTTAACATGTTACTCATCATTTCTTGAAAAAAAGAATTCTAATCTGAAATAACCTCAATTGCTAGAATTCTAAATTAATAATCTCCAAGGCCAAGTGCATTTGGCTGTTCTTGATCACAAATGATATTCTTAGTCACCCCATCCTTTGCAGAAAAAGGACATTACCTGTATCAGAAGTTCTTACCTGGCCCTCTCCAACTGTTTCAGTGTCAATTACTGTGATGATGCCTGGAACCAAAGGACTCCGCCTGGAATTACTATGGAGGGCAACATCGTCTTCGGTCACACCTGAAGGCAGTGTGCCTGTCAGCTGAGTCACCACTTTCCCAACCATTGTCAAGCCAGTTTTCAATGTCTATACAATGAAATGTAAAACATATGACTTCACATCAGTATTTGGATTTTAAACAGAAATATGCATCTTGTTAATTCTCCTACCTTTTAAATTCCTTATTCTCTTACAAGCCTATATATAGCAGTGAACTGTCACAGAAATTCAGTCTGACTTTTCATATGATCTTAAATTTTAGTTAGAAAATCAGTATTAATTTGAGTGAATGCTGTCAGTAGAATCCCCAAAGTCAGCATAGTGAGAATAAAGCCATAAGCAAATAATTTTTTTTAAAGCCATAAGTAAATCATTAAAGAGCTTTGTTTCACATGAGGGAACAATTATATTTTTATTTAAAAAAAATATTTCTTCTCTCCCCTCTTCTTTTTTTTTTTTTTTTAAGGTTTTATTTATTTATTTGACAGAGAGAGACATAGCGAGAGCAGGAACACAAGCAGGGGGAGTGGGAGAGGGAGAAGCA